CTCTCATTTTACATAATGTCACTTCGCAGATTTTCCGGCAAATTTAGTCTAAAAATTACATTATCTTTTTTCGTATTCTATTTCATGAAGCCTGACCGTAATGATACATTACGTCGCCCGGTCATTTGTCGCCGGCGACAATGTATACATACCTTCACTGTCTACACTGCCGTTTATCAGTACATATTGCACGATAAATCAGGGCAGTGATTATACTCTTTACAAAGGCATTTGCCGGTGTAACGACGAAAAGTGACCCCCGTAGAATATTGACCGCAGGTCATTTTTCTACGTAGAAATTTGACCCCTTGGTCAATATTCTACGTAGAAAAATGACCCACTTTTTCGTAGAAATTATTGCCTTGCGGTCGTTTTTCTCCGTGTGCATTGTAGAAAAAATACCCCGTAGAATATTGACCCCTTGTCATTTTTTGATGCAATTTTTTAAACATTCGTTTTGGTAGGAATATTCTTGTTAGGCAAATGCATACGGGAAATATCAAGCAGCCTTATGATATGAAGTGTTTATTTTTGAAAGCCTTTAACTTTAAGCTTAAATAAAATAAAAAAAATCAAAGCTACACTATACCTTTCATTAATTATACAAACCGTTTTATCACCATTAAAAGAAAACGATATATATCTATTAAAATGTTCTAAGGCTATTAGTGCAAAGATACGCGCATTCATAGATTTGTTTATAATGTTTTATACAGTAAGATTCCACAGTTGTCATTTTAATCTTTAAAAAGGTCATTTTCAAGGTGGTGTCAGTAAAAGAATTTTAAAAAAGTTTCCATGATTGTAAATCTCATTGATTTTACCCAGGATGAATAATTTGCAAAAATCATAATACAATGTTATTTTTCAAAAGTTTAACGTTTATGATCCCTATTTTTAAAACTTGTGCACAAAAGAGATTGCTTAGAAAATTAGATCCTAACAAAAATATTTTGTTTTCTATGAACTAAGTTTCAAACTTCTCATAAAAAATAGGGATGGTTTAATTCGTTAAAAATAAGTGCTAAATTAAATTGCCTCTGACCTATGATACCAGAGAAACAAAAAGGGATTTGCTCAAAACCTTTAAAATGTCTTTTGTCGTTTGCTAGTGTCAACAAAACCTTAACAAAATGGGGGTTTTGGGATGAAAAAAATTATTAAGTAAAGAAAGAAGTTTTCGTTATACCAAAAATTGGCACATGTAGTATTGTTTTTCTCCTTTCTAAATGTACTTACATCTGATGATTTTAAGAGTTATTTTATCAACTGAGAAAAAATGTTTGGTCATGAAAAAATTTGTCAGTTTGCATATTATATTCATGCCCCGTAAAAGAAGTTTTGGGAGTATATAGTTTTTTCCTGTCCGTCCGTCCGTCTGTCTGTTTGTCCGCAAAAACTTTAACATTGCCCATAACTTTTGACTGGATAAAACTATGGCTTCCATATTTCAAGACCACAGGTGTCTTTAATTTTTTTGACAAGACCTTTCTTTGGGTACGGTCAATTTTAACCTTTTGACCTTAGAATTTGACACACTTTTACCCCAAAATTCCAAACTTTTACCTTGGCTTTAACGGTATATATGTGCTACGACTTTAGATATCGAAGTAATGACATGATAGACTAAGATTTCATTTGTATTTGTAAAGTTAGTGTCTAAGAAAATCGGAGAAGAAAGGGGATGTTACAGCAACCATTTATTAATTGTCTGTTGGCTAAAAGGTATTGAAAAAGGAAGTTTTTTAAAATGAAATTATAGATATCTGTAAATTATCAAATGTACTTAGTATTCACTCAGATGTAAATTTTTGCCCGTTTCAGGGATTTTTTAAAATCATTATAAGAACGTTCTCGGTGTGTATGGCATTTCCCGTATATTCAGGAACAAGATGTGTTTATAAAACACCGATGCCCAAGTATGGCAACATAGCGTTTAGCTTTCTCAATGCAGTTCAATAATGTTGGTACTTAAAGTAAGGCCTTTTCACAAGAAATATGAATGTGAAATATAAAACCATAGCACAACCTGTGCAAAGGTTATCACCAAGATTAACGTTTTTAAAGGTAGGACAAACTTCAGGGTCAAGGTCAAAGGTTCAAAGTTGTTGGTATGTAAAGAAAGGCCTTGTCTCAAAGATTACATGTGAGAAGTATGAAAGTGCTGGTCCTTACTGTTCAAAAGTTATGGCCAAGGTTAAACTTTGTGAAAAGGTCAAAGGTCAAGTTTTCTGATATCCAATGAAAGATCTTGTAGCAAGGATAAAATATATTAAGTATGAAGGCTCTAGCCTTCACTGTTCAAAACTTATGACCAAGGTTAAAGTTTGTAAACAGTAGGTCAAAATCCAAGGACAAAGTTGTTGATATCCGATGAAAGGTATCCAATGAAAGGTATTCTAACAAGGATTACATGTGTGAATTATGAAAACCCTAGCCCTTACAATTCAAAAGTTACGACCAAAGTTAAAGTTTTTTAGTAAGAACGGAAATGTCTAAGGTCAAGGTCAAAGTTGTTAAATTGTTTCAAATAAAAGGTCTTGCCATACAGGGGACTCCCTACAAGTTTACGGTTATCAGAAATATATCATGCCATTTTCGGAATAAAACCTTCGAATGAAAAAATATCTAAAATATTAATATCAACAAAAAAAATCACAAATATATGCTCCTCTATGAATTAATATTCATGGGGATTCTGCAAGTCTAAAAAAATCCATACCAGATACATTATGGTGCTAAAATTAAGATATGCAATCGATTATATGTGGAAAAGGAGTAAAGTACATAAAAAATTTCCCCTCCTTCATTTCAAAATATAAAAAAGTACCAGGAGACACAGATATAAGGTTTTATTGTATAAAAAGTAGGGGGTCAAATTTCTATGGGGGTCATTTTACAACGTGTGTGAAGTCGTAGAATTACTGGTCTGGGGTGTTTTTCTACGGTCGAAAAATGACCCCACTTGTCGTAGAATATTGACCTTGGGTCATTTTTCTAGAAAAATGACCCCCTGGTCAATATTCTACGGGGATCACTTTTCGTTGTTACACCGGCCTCGTTTTATTTTCGATACTTTTCACAAGTGGGCTAAATCTAAACGCAGCGAATTCAAAGAATGCTGCATAACTTCTTCAAAATTAATGTAATTAATAAGTATAAAGGGACAACAATGCAAGTTTTCGAAAAAAAAATAAAAAACATTTACACGATTGAAAATATAATATATCGTAGGTTGTTAAAAATATCGTAATAATTTTCCAGTTATATGTATTCAATACTAAGGGAAAAAAAAACATGCAATGTCAAACTATATTGAAATGATAGGATATTGAAATGAAATGGCTAAGTAATCAATAGCTGAAAAATAACAGTAGCTTGTCATATATGACAGCGATTTATACCAATTCTGGAAACATTTATACGAGGGGCATTTCAGAATTTCGGGCAACTGCTTAATAAAAAAATTACCGTTTTACGGAAATAATTGATATTGATATCATTGGAAAGAACAGAAAAATATATGCATATTGTGATGTCGCTTTATAATTTTAATGACGTAATAACTCCGAAAATAACGTCAGAATATAGAATGTTTAACATACTGACCAAAAAATGACGTAACAAAAGAAACAATTTGATCAAATTAAAACTTTAAAGAAAACTTGTGCTCATTACTCGGACGCAAACGAACGGACACAAATGCCAGTTGGTGATATGTTTACATAGACTACAATCTATCATATGATGTTCTATTTCGGAGATCTTCTTGTTCTGATATGGTTATAGCGAGTGTCAAAATTAGTATGTTTTTATCGAATCTCACTCAAATTATTATGTAAAAGAGATCTAACTCTCTTGAGTGAGAAAAAGACAAAGTTGACAATCAAAGAAAAATAGGCGATCGTGTTACAAAACTTGATAGCATAAATTCGTCAGATGTTTTAACAAGATCTGGGGGATCGATGGAGGCTCAAGAGAAGTTAAGTTTAGTGTGCCCCATATTTTCTCTTATAATCCAAGATGGCGACGGCGCAGTTGTAAAGCCACCGTTCCTCCACATATTCGCAAATTTTACTGCATGGGAAATAAATAAGATTTTACATGTCTGTGTAACATATTTATTTAATTAATTCAAAAGTCAAAAGCTTTAGTTAGTTTTGGGGCTCGGAAGTTGAATTAATGTGAAAAAATGTGCACATAATCAAGTCAGGGACAAGATTTTGTACATTTTATTCGTAATTGGTAAGAGTTCTGTTACCCAAAATATATTCTATGAAAACTGCATTAATATACTTTAGCTTAATATAGGACAAGTTTTATTTCAAGCAATGGAGAGCTATATAAAAGACCGAAAATCCAGCCGTATTATATTAATAAAAATCTGAAATAAATGTCAATGATAGCATAACCGGACATAAACATGCTCGTGAACAAACCATACAATGAATGATGGAATGATGCTGATAAATAGTGTCATAGTCCTTCTCTACCTCTTTGCAAAGTAATTTCCTTTGAAATATTTTTTTAAATAAGCCTTTGCCATCAATTTTACGATCATCAGTATGCTAAACATTCTATATCTTGACGTCATTTTCGGAGTTATAACGTCAAAAAAATTTTCTGATCTTTCGAATGATATCAAACTCAATGATTTCCGTAAACCGGTTAATTTTTTGTTAAACAGTTGCCAGAACTTTTGAAATGTACATTGTATGTCCAACTTATTTTTTTTTTCAATATAGGTCTTGACTTTGAGTCCCTCGTCGTTGTACAGAAAATAATCTGTTTGATATCTATTCCAACTGTAAATTAATGGTGTTAGTAATCTGAATTAAAACAGATAAATTATTCTATAATTATCCTATATCATTAATATCTATTTCATCACGGAACATAAAAACAACGATGGAGTGATCAATATTTTTAGGGTTACTTTTTCGTTGACATGGAATACACATGTATACATGAATGACATGGTTTATGTTTTTTCCAGGTCTCCTTGACAGGTTTGCCTCTAGAATTTTAAGGTTTAATCTATACATTTCCAACACAACAAATCGACTCGATGGTCACTTATGCTTTCATGACAGAAACCTCAACAGATCCACAACACCCGCAGTCGTCAATATTAACTGTCCTGTACAAGGGCAATACGTCATATATTATATGAAGAGACCACACAACTCAGATTTTGCAAGCCAGTTTTCTGATGATGAATTCAATGCTTTTTGCAAAGTGGAAGTCTTTGGTATGCTTCATGATTTTTTTGACACGTTTGTTTTATGATGCAGCTCTCTTCACATGCAATAAGAATATTTTCATTCTGATCAGATGAAATCTTTAGATAAATTCATCAGGGCTTCAAAGTTCAATATTAAAGATACATTTCTTAAACTTTTCATATATGGAAAATATAGTTACAATTGGTTAAGATAAGTGTGTTTTTTTTCTGCTGACTAGTTTTATTCAAATATATTATATCAATACTAATCGAAAAAAAAAAACGAATATATTTTTGTCGCACTTGCTAATCTAATTATAACAAAACCAGATACTAGTAATCCCCGATAATATTTTATCCTTAGGTTGCAAAACCCTAAATTTCTATGGAACAAACTGTTCACTTCCCTGTTCCAGCAATTGTATTCATTCTAGATGTCACATCGAAACAGGAGCCTGTCATGAATGTAAACCGAGATTTTCTGGACATCATTGTAAACTGGGTAAGTCATTTAAAACAAAATATTGCAGTTAATCAAAATTTGTATAAATTAGTAAACATAATTTATTTTTTCTGTATATTTGTGAATAATTTTCATAATCCAAAGATACGTGCAAATCGTTTAAATGAAGCCACTCTTTAACTTTAAACAAATGTCAGAACATTATTATATTTGCAATAATTCAATTCATTCAGAAAAGATATATATTTTTTAATGCAATCTACGCAATAGTAAATTTAGAAACTGAAAGTTTATAGATTTCTGAAATTAGTATATTTAGGAGATTAAGCTCCCCTATATCTTTTAACCCAGAGACTTTAATAAATGGTATAAGTTATTTACTGTACGTATACAAAATTTAGCACATTCAAAATTTATCGCAGTCAATGGATACATGTATGGAAATGTTTGCGTAATTATGAATAAGTGCTACACATGTTGATACTGTATAATTATTCTATTTATGAATGAATTCTTAGCGGTATTCATGAATCAGCGCATCCTCGTCTGCACCAACGCTACTAAAAAAGTTAACCGTACATGCAATTTGCGAAGAGATTTATATTTTTTTAGATGATTAATAGAGTTTACTTGTTGATTTTTTTCAAAACTGTGTACTTTAATTTTCTAGAATTCATAATTTCATGTTCAGTATGAAGCATAAAAATGCTGTGTTTTGAATATATTAATTTATACCAACATAAACATTTTGCGTGGAAAATCTTAATTTTTATCAGATTCAAGAATATGTGTGCTATTAAGAAATACCCCCAATTTGTAATGCTGATGACTTGAATGAAGTTTAGATAACCGAAAAATATCATCTCTGATAAATCAATAATGGCATGTTACGATAATTTATTATATATTCTAGTAAAAAAAAATGCAACTATCCTTTTCTACACAATTATTTTGATTTCGGAATTTTCTTTCTATTTCATTACACAGATGCATTTAAGGAATGTTTTTAAGTTTTGCGCGCTAGCGCTTCATGAAAAATATGCCTACGTGCAAGTCTGTGTGATTCACACACCAAAAATTCACACTGAACTTAAAAACATACCTTATATATACATTTTACATGTAAGGAAACAATTAAAATATTCTTAATATTTAAATTTCTCGCTGCCCTATATTGTTGCATTTTTACTAACGTCGCTGCAACTTCATTGTGACGTCACGTTAATGCACGTTTCTCCGTGCATATTTCTAAGCGTGAGTATGCACGAAAAGGGTTTTCAAATCAATTTCACGGTTGGCTTTGTAGAAAAACACAGCAAATATAGATATTTATGTATAAACAGTTAAAAACTGTTATTTATTAACCTATTCTACAATTTCATCTTATTTCGTGTCGCGGGAATTGTAATTCTGATGTCACGATCTTCTTGAGAAAGTCGATTGATAATCTAACCCCCATCCGATTTCCAATTGACTTTCAGATTTTGCTTTCGATTTTAGACTTAGGTGATCTCATGGTAAGATTTTAGCTGAAAGCAAATCGATCTAAAAACTAGGAAAATCTGATGATAAATAGAATCGTGTGACCGCACTTTTACGGATAGCCTTATCCTATCCGTGTTTTTAAGAAGTTTTTTTTCTTTTTAAATGGAAAAAGTTTTCATATGAATGAACTCAATATACTTTGCCAAAATAAATGAGAAATAAAATTTGAGAAAAAAAAAATGAATGAAGATAAATCAAAGATTATTTCCTGACTGTTAATCAAACATTTTTGCCATTGTCTCCAAATTATGTAACTTTACTCTTTTTTCATACTGACCCCAATTTTCTCTGCGGTTTTCAGTTTGACAAGATGGGTTGTTATCTAAAATGTTTTATCTCAACAAATCTTTTTTATACATATCTTAAGAGAAGAATTATTTTTTTATTCTAAAGAATCTATTGAAAGAAATGCATTGAAGTATTTGGAAAAGATACAAAGAAGTTTATCAAATGAAATCACATATCTAAATATAGGTCTTTATAAATCAGGATTAAAAAAAAACAGAGTATTAGGCAACCAGAGTCAAAATACTTGGTTTAAATTAAATTGCTAAATGTTTCGTAAATGCCCTATTTGGGCATCTAATGGATTAATTAGTCAGTAGGATGTATTATATCAGAATGAAGGGTATAGTAATTTGGAAATTTCACGCTCTTATATTCTCACATATCTATTCAAAGTTAATGGCGATATATATATATATATATATATATATATATATATATATATATATATATATATATATATATATATATATATATATATATATATATATATATATATATATATATATTAGGGATGTCAACGAGTACCCGGTTAACTGGGTACTCGATCGAACGTCCAAGTATCGAATACTAAAATCGGTACTCGGTTACTCGGATGTATATTTTTTAATGTTTCAAAGCTCATTTATTAATGCATTAAAACATCAGTTTTAAAACGTAAAATGTTCATTGCATTTGTACATACAGTAATTAGAGTTTTCTACACCTCTAAATGACCGTTATCGCCCGTGGCAGTGTTTATACAGTAATTATCGTGACCAAGCACCTGTTACCTGGCTTTTCTCACCTTCGACTGTCTTCTACCCATATTTGTTGTTTGCTTTATTGATTTGTTTTCACTGAACATCGTTTATGGTCTATTATATTTAAATGAATTAGATAATTTTGTCAATTCTCCAAAAAGCCGTAAATTCTCGGGAAAAGAGACAGATGATATTACACGTGCGAACGGATTGTTGATATGGTTGTGTTTGATTACATGCCAATTAATTCAAATGGTTAAAGACAAAGGGTTTCAAAAAAACCGATGTCCATCGTTGCATCAAAATAAAACATACCGTCCCATAATACTATAAACATGATGAAATATAGGATCGAAAAAAATGTACGAAGATAGTAAATCCGCTCTGTCATAGGAGAACTTGACCAAGTTGATACTGAACCTCGGACGACTGATCACGTGGACGTCAAACGCAACCAAAGAGATTAACAATAAAAAAAAAGAAAAAAAAAAAGCACTGAACTATTTATGATTTTATTCCTTGTCTTTATCAGATAAATAAATTGAACTTAAAAAAAATGTTATATTAAATTTCGTCGGGCATGAAGTGCTCATAATTACTACATCAGATTTACGGGTAAACCTCCCATCGGAGCATGTGGTGTTATTTCTACAAGTGTTTACAATGTTTTACAGTTTTCAATGTTACTTGTTCATATTTATCAACACTTTTACCGAGTACCCGGGTACTCGATCGGAAAAACGTCCGAGTAACCGAGTAGTAAAAATTGACCGATTTGACATCCCTAATATATATATATTTTGCTCAGATCTATATTTTGATATCAAATGTTAAAAAAAAGATAAACTGTGCCTGAATTGTTAATCTGTTTTCATTACTAGAGAAGGAAAATGTTGACGAAAAATATCTTTGGCTTTATATTGTTGTCGGAATCCTAATCACCTGTGTAGTTGCTATTGTGCATCTAATACCCTACGTAAGGTAACAATATTTTAACAAAAATTATATCTTTGAACTTTTCGATTATGTATTGCACTTGCAGCTTTAATTTCAATTTTAGTGGATTTCTTTTTTTTTTCTTTTTTTCTTTTTTGTAGAAACGACTGTGATACGAGAAAAACAATGCAAGCAATGTGGTGTATTTTTAGAAATGATGAAGTACAAGAATAAAAACTACGGTTCAATGAATACAACGAAGATGGAATTCTTATAAACGTGTCCAAAATTTTCAATCGTGTTCATCACTGCGCAATGTCACTTTTTGTAAAGCTATATTCTTCTTTTTTCTCCATTAATATTTCATTTTTTATAAGCATCATATAATAGGTAACTCATATGAGGTTTTATATTTTAGTATAATATACTCTGGCAAGAAATTTTGGACTTGTGTATTTGTTTTGCTTTTCTTTTCAGTGAACATACGTGTAGTTCCTTTTGTTGGTATCTTAATAAATCAGTTTTATAACAAATAAGAGTTTTCTTGATGTTTCTCACCTTCAGAACAAGTTAGAGCATCCTTTTTGCTTTTGCCAAAAACAAATGAATGAATTTAAATATATAAGAAAAAGAATATAAGAAAATATAAGAAAAACCTTCAATCTGCTCATAACGTAGAATGTTGGTCTTATATTAAAAAAAAGAAAACAAATAAATCATTTTGACAGACACTAAAACTCCCAAGTTTTTTTTCTGCATATGTTGTTAAAATACGTGTTTATATCCGTTTTCACATCACGTTGCTCTGCCCTGATCTCTGAGCCACTTACATATTATGACGTCATATTATCTATGACAAATACCTTTGATGTTTTGGAATCAATAATAATTCAAGTAGGAAATCTCCAGGGGAAAATATTGAATATTGATTTTTTTTTTTAGGATAGTGAAGTGTGATTTTTTTCTGGTATGCCATTTTTCTTATTCTCCTGACAAATCAGTTAAATATTTATTGAATTCTGCAGATTAAATAAAAAGCAGACATAAACTTTGTTTTTCTTTGCTGATATATATATTCTTATGGACGAAGCACTTCCTTTTTTCTGTTGTTCGGGTGCTTTTTCGTCTTTTTCCTCATTGGACAGATGCTGATTTGAATGAGAAAACTAGTTTATTGCACAAAAATGCTCAATGCATAATATCTTAATTTAACTTACTCTTTGTTTTCCAAACGTCTTTTATTACATGTAAAATGTTAAAATTAAACAAGTATTTTGGGGGCAGCCCAAAGGATACATGTGTCAACATACAAAAAAATAACTGTCGAAATATTAATCATTTGTCATTTTTTTCTTAACAACAATGTTAGGTACAAAATTTATGTACCGGCCTTAAAAACCATTGAATCAGAATATCATTTTTTTGCGTTAGGTGTGGACGTTTATCAAGATTTTAAACCTTCTTGAAAAAAAAAATTCTAAAGGTATTATCACGGATATATAATGTATTCTATTTCAGACAATGCATGGATCTCTGACATTGTCCTGATTTAAAGACAGAGCAAAAATGTTAGAATAAAAAAAAAATATCCTCAATAATCTTATTTACAATATTGTGTTTACTACTTAGTAAAATATGCTTCATCCTTTTGTTGTATAGTCTTCTTTTTTTAAACTGACATAATAGAAACATCAGGGTGTATTTATTATGTATTGATGGGATCCAATCTATAATACACACATTTAAGCTGTTAATGTATAAAGCAATAAACATATTATGTATAAAGGTGGAAAGAAACACGTCAGAATTTTATAAAATAAGATATCTTTGTCGAGAAGTAAAAACCGAGAAAGAAACATGAGCGTAAAAAATCATAATAAAAACTTTGTCGTTGCAATGTAGATCGCTAAAGTAAAAAATGCTTGAGGACATACACGATTATTTTTAGGTAGTCGAGCAAAATTCATTGGTACATATGAAAGTGCTTGAGTACCAAGAAGAAATTAAATCAAAAGTTGTTTTTTTTTGTAACTGCATCCGATAAATACATCGCAATCCGATTTCTCGTTGTAATTTAAGCTATTTTGAGACACTGAAGAAGAATATCAGTCAAGGTCGTAATATATATCCCCTCGTCTGTGAAGTGCAGATCATTTACTTTCACTTTTTAAGGACAAAACCTCTGCTATCTAAACCTCATAAAAATTGCAATCTCATCATTATATTGTCTGTGGTTACATTGTATGTATAGAAAAAGTGAAATATGCTGTGTTCATTTACATTATTACCTCTACATAATTAGAAAGTCACCGGTTAACTAATCTCATCTTTTTAGGTTTGCTAATGAAAGAACCGTCATGATGAATTGAGGAAAATTTACATTTCCTAAAGTATAACTGGTGAAAAATATGTTATATTCATGCATTTGTATCAAATATAATTATGATACATATGTACGTCCCCCGTATATCAATGCCAAGTACTTTTTCTATGTATGGAAATAAAATTGTAGAAATCAGGAGTCATTGACGGATAATTTATTATTCTAAAAGATGCGACATCAATGTTATTAAAATACTAGACTTAAACATCTTATTGCCAACTTATTAACATTCATGTTTCAGAAATATTTCATATACATCGTATCATGATCTATGAAAAGCGCAATACAAAACAGGAAGACTTTCTTATATAAAATAATAAAGGAATTTTTTGCTTTGGGGAGGGGACACCAAAACAAAAATAACCATCGTACATGTAAAGTTTTAATACATTGAATCTCTTTGAAAAAAAGTATAGATAAAGTAAAATTCAATCTTTGAAAAGTTATAATTATGTGGGCCTCTAAGTGCCCTCTTTAATTTAAGCAACACTGGCTCCTACATTGTTTTCTAAACAAATAACACACGGTTGCAATTGCAAATGTTTAGGCGCCATTCTAAAAATAGATATAACGTGTACATGTACTTATTTATAGAGAAACTGCTTTGCTTATATTTAAACTTTTTTCTGTTCTTTATCAAAGAGTTTCTGTTCTTAATCAAAGAGAAAATGCTTTTATGTTGTTTATACTTCTGACGATTGCTAAAGAAATTGTTCTCATTATCAGTGGCACAGAAAAAAAATCATTATTAGAGGTCTCGAAATTACTTAAAAGTTGGAATAAAAACAACAAAATGTAGATAATGTTATCTACGTCATTTTACAGCATGCATCTAGAAATTATGTTTCAAGAGAGAAAAAGGGACTGCATGTTTTGTTCCCTTAAATTTATTTTAATTAAGATCTAGGTGTCGGGTCCTTCGGCGTCTTTGGCAGTTACATTATAGAAAAATGCACCTGCATTCTTTGCTTAGCATATTTGAAATATATACGTAACGAGATGTACATTAGCTTTTCTTCTGGATAAAAATATCATAAATTTCATTAGTGAAAACAAACATCTGTGAAAGATCTTAAATCATGAATGGTTTAGAACATCAATACTGTTTATTATATAATGTATATTTTATTTTTAAGGAAATCAATTTTAAGGGGTGTCGGGGCACAGTTGCATTGTAAATACAGTACTTAAAATTTCTTTTTTAATTTAAAATGTAAAAGAAGCAGCTGGATAAAATTTAAACAAATACTCCTAAGATTTCAGTGATAGTATATGGGAGTATTCTTTTTCACACAACGACAAGCATTTGTTTTTGTAAAGAGGTCACGGGCTTTGTTATTGTAAATATTTACGTTTTCCGGGGTTGGTTCAATGTATAAACCAGGCACACATCAATGAGCATGAATTAATACGAGTGATGAACTGTCATTGCTATCTCACATTGCTTTATTTATTTATTTATTTATTATGGTTTTAATATTTTGTTTAAAAATACAAAAAAATGTTACTTTTTTAAACTTTTAAGAATAATGTTTACTTCGTTAAGGCACGAAAATGTGTCAAATCAATTTGTCCCAATATAGTTTTTATAACTTCAAGATTTATCTAATACGTGTTGGTGATACAGACCGTTGGATATGCTTTATCTACAGATATATGCTTTATCAATAGCATTTCCGGTTTTGGAGCGATTCCTCGCTTCAAGATTTTATTTCATTGAAACTTTTATTTGTGAAAATTATTGTCCTTATAAAATGAATGACAAAGGGCAATAATATCGCTAAAAGCACGAAAAAGACTCGTATATGTCTAAAAAGTGTCTTGTTGTATCAAGGAACCTGTATTGGCTACTTGAAGACAGATTTTAAACCACCCCCCCTCTTTAAATCGTTTTCGGAAAAAGTAAAGACTAGTAGTTAAGTTGTTGTTAGAATATCCCTTTAACATCTTCAATAATGCTTCCTTGCATTATACTACTTATGCCTACCTAGTAGTACATGTAATGAAGATGTAACTTTTTTTTTTTTGGCCATCGAGCAAAGAGTTAATATTCACGATCCCAGGATCCTTACAACTTTCAGTAAGAAGTTCGTTCGATGTAAAGCTCCAGGAATTGTCACTTAATGTTTTCAAAGACACAGATAGCAAAAATTTTAACTTTTGAAAACGATATACTTTCTTTCGAGGCATGTCAACATCAACGGTGCTACGTCATCAAGTCATTCGTCATCAATTTGAATTAGCAATCATTCCTGTAATTTCTCAGAGAAAGTCTCAAAGTTTTGTTAAAAAGAAATTTGTATGAGATAAAAAGAACATCTTTAATTGGTTGATTTGATATTGGCTTTATCCAACGAGTTACAATGGTGTATATATTCGCGAGGCTTGCCGTTCTTTTAATTTAAAATATTTTGTTTAAAGCTTCCGTCTGAGTTTATGATATTAAATTGCCGAAATAAGAAATGTTTCACAGTTTAAGATATCATAATTAAAGCTATCGGTGACTTAAGATATAACATTACACTTAGCTTTGGGTTCCTTACAGGCTCTGGGTACATCTGTACTTTTTTATGTCTTTACTGAGGGTGTACAAAAAATACTCTTTGTTCTCTTTTTCATAGTTTTGTTCTTTGTAATATACTTCATATAACTTCAAGATACATTACGTTTCATAGCTTTCTTTTTTCGTCTGAAACGTCCAATCAACATAAAAGCCATGTTAATATACAGACACATTAAAAAAAAACTTCATATTAAAAAGGTAATTAAACTATTCGGAATATCGCGCTGGAACAATTTACGCTGTTTATAATTGCATGGCTTTTTTATAAAGCCCATTAACAATCATATTCGATTTGATACCATATTATCTGGGAAGCTTTTAAGTTCATTTCTTATAATTTGAATTTATTTGATAACTGACTAAAAAAATAAATAATCACCTTGAAGGGCAGATGGTTCATACATAAATATGATTCCCATGCATTTTTGTGATATTTTGAATGAGAAATGAAAACGTGTTCGTTTCACTTATTGAAATATGACTCCGGCTGTTCTTTTCAATTTTAATGACAAAATATTAT